CCCCCGCACCTTGTCGGTCTCAACGCCAGCCACCAAGGCCACGTGCGTCAGGCGCGCCAGCTCAGCTCGCATAGCGCTAGACCATTCCACGTGGGTCATCCGAGCCCTCCCCTGCAGCGTACGCACATGCAAGGCAGGGCAAGTTGGGGGACGAAAGCTTTCAGCAACTTCCATGCCGCCAAGAGCTCAATCTGCGCTTGACGGCCCCAATAACATCAGTAAGCATGACTGTCACCCATGCCATCATCAACGCCTGCAGAGGCTCGAGCGCCCCACCTTGTCCAACGCGCTCTTTGGTGCTGGCTGGATCTGCGGGGGGCGGCGGCAATGCAGGATTCAGCTAGCAACCATGGGGGCCATGAGAGCAGCCTGCCATGGAGGAGCGATGCGATGCGCTGCGTGCATGCATGCCTTACACCATTCCGCATTCATCTCCTGCATTTTTTGGTCTGCGGCCACTACCCGTATCCTCCCTGCCAGCCCAAACGTGCCTCTGACCACAGGGCCCCTCACCGCATGGCCCCTGTCCCGGATCGCGCCCAGCAGCACGCCCCTGCGCCGGTCCTGCTCGGCGTGGTGCGCGGCCCACTCCTCCTCCGTACGGTCCGCCGCGCGCTTGCGCTTGCGCCGCTCCTCGTCCTCGGCCCCGGCGCCGCCCGCCGCTGGGGCTGCCGCCGTCATCGTCGCCGCCGCCGCCGCCGCCGCCGCTGCCGCCGCCGTGGTGGGGCGCTCTGAGGGGCTGGGCTGCGCAAGCTGGGCCAGCAACTCTTCCAGATCCCTGCTGGTAGGGAGGGCGGTGCAGGCGCAGACGATTCGCAGGCATCTGCTGGGGTCAGGGGCAGCCTGCCTGCTGAGTCTAGCAGGTCGTGGTCAGACGCCATTGCCCGCTTCCTGCATGCTTCGGTCTAGTACAGCGTGTGCCACTACTGCCACCTCTCCATTCCCAAGTTGTAGGCTGTTCACCTGGAGCCCACTGGCAGTATGGCGTTCATGTCCACGCTGTCTTCGATCCCCGCGAGGAGCTCATCCAGGTTCCTGCTGCGCAGGAGCAGCGGCCAGATAGAGCGGGCTCGTCAGCACAGTCGGGATGCATGATGCAGGTGCGACACGGCGACACGATCCAGTCGACATGCGCGCATGACCCCCCTCACAAGCCCCCCCGCGGACTGAAATTTCAGGTGACGTGCCGCACCCGGGGCTCATCGGCGCCATGTCGCTCGTGTCTGTGGGGTGCGCCGCTTCGGTGCGGCCCTTGCCGCGCTTGCGCACGCCATGCTGCTGGTCGTCGGCCGCGGCGCCGCCCGCCTCCGCCGCTCCGGGGGCGGGGGCATCCTCTGCGAACGCGAACAGGACGTCCTCCAAGTCCCTGTGCACCGGCGAGAGGCTTCTCAGGGCGGGGCAGGCGGGAGAGGACCCAGTCAAACACGCAGTCGCGCTGCTGCCCGCTGCTAGGCCTGCCCTCGTGCGCCGAGCAACCGGGTGGGCCGGACCTGGAGCCAGTCAATATCAGGTTGCTCATGTCTGTGCCTTGAGTGCAGCGGCTCGACTAAAATGCGCGGTGCAGACCGATTGCACTGTGCGTGAACCTATGATTGCATGCTGCAACGCAGAGCGTACATAACCTGCCCTAAAGTAGTGCCTGATTTCTTAATCAGGCGTTCCACCGAGCATATGATCATAAGTGCAGCCGCGAATCTGCAGTGCCGTGACCAAAAAGATAGATATTTGCCGCTGCATGGCGTTGACCGAGGACCAAAATTCGTGCACCATATGTTTGAAATTGCGTTCTCGTGTAGCCCAGAGGCCCTGGCAGCGCCACCGAGGAGCGCACAAGCGCGGGCCCCACCGCCTTGACCCTCAATTCGTTCTGCAGGGTGCGCCGCTCACGCGGTCTGTCGGTGCGCCGCGCGCACGCGCAGGCCCGCGTCAGCGCTGATGTGCTGCAAATGTGCATGGCAACGTGGGCCAAATGAATGGTGGCCGCGTACACATGCACACTTCTGAGTTTGTGTGTGTGTGGGGTGGGGTGGGGGGGCGCAAGGGTACTCCGATGCCTGCTGCCAGCACAAACAGGATGCATTAGGAGGGGTGCATGTTCATCCCTCACAGAGACCCTGTAAATGGTTTCCATGTAGCACTCAAGGCTGTGCTGCGGTCTTAGGGCGATGCAGGGCGAGCGCGGGTCCCGTCGGCACCAGGCACCTCTCTGATCATCTGACTGGTGCCGATCTCAAAAGGCTGTGACTCGTCAGTGATGTTGGTTACCTTGCATTGCACTGCATATCATCATACTCTGGGGCTGTGATGAAAGCACGCCCCTGTGGTCATCACAGGCCTGGCATCAGGAGCACGCAGCAGGTATGCGCCTACCAAAGCACTGAAGCGCATGTCAAGTCTCACAGTCTCACAGTGATATCGTCCCCTCCCCAAAGCGCTCCGAATAACTCTTCTGAACCGGGTGAAATTGTGACTGTATGAGACGGTGGTCCTCGACCACCATCTCATTAGGGCAGTGTGTGGCCGCAGCACATAAGATTGTGTTGAGTGATCGCGTCAGGCTCCCCCATCCGCTCAGATGTGACCCGCCGGACCGCAGGGCGCGCCCAAACGCATCACTGGTGCGCAGCCGGCGCAGCGGGCTGTGGAGTGTGGGGGATCAGGACCAAGGATGATGGGATTGATGATGTCTCGACATACTGGAATGCTTGTAAAGTGGTGTACACTGGCCCTTGCGACGGCCAGCACTCGCATCCTCCTCTCTGAGAAGATCACAGCCAGCGGAGCACTGACAGGATCCTGGGAGTCTCAAAACGATGGCCGATGAGAGCCCGGCCAGAGATGGCAACTTGGTACGGCCCACACACCGATTGGTGATCCCACAGCACCCTCGTGCAGACGGGCAGCAACTGCGAGGAGGCACACGGCCGGGCCCGCAAACAGCATCACGCCGCCGCCGCCGCCGCGACCGTCGACCCCTGCAGCGGCGCGGCCTGCAGCGGCTGCTGCGCCGCGGAGCCGTTCTTCTGGTACTGGGCAGACAGGTCCTCCAGCATCTGAGTGACCAGGTCGTCGATGCCGTGCTTGTGGCGCCAGCCCCAGTCGCGGCGCGCGGCGGTGTCGTCGATGGAGGCTGGCCAGGTGCGGGCGATGGCATCCCTGGCGGGCAGCAAGAGGGCGGCAGGTGCGCATCCGCATCAGGCGGGCATTATAAATTTTATTTCCAGATGCCGTGACAATGGGACAGGGCGTCACTTTTGAGCGCCCTGACGCAGCCTACTCATCTAAAAGCTAGCCAAGACGGGGGGATGCCCCTGCTGATTCGCTCAACTCAACTAAATTTTGACCGCCAAGCGGTGCCAGCAGTGCCATGGCAACGCGCGCATGCCCCTCGCTCCCCTTGCGAACACCTCGAAGCAACTTCCCTTTTTGGCGTGCCCTCAGGCGCCACCGCTGCCCACCTAAAGTCGGGGCTGTATGAGATCGCAAACCCGGGCAGCTGCTTCTCGATCGCCTCCGCCAGCTGGGCGGGCGTGAAGCTGATGGCGGTGACGTTGTAGGTGGTGCGGGTGAGGCTCTCGCGCGGCGCGGACATCAGGGCGTGTGTGGCCTCGAGGCAGTCGTTCATGTGCATCATGGGCAGCTCAGCATCAGCGGACTGCGGGCGTGGAAGTTGCGAGGACACGTGGTTGGTGGGGCAGGTTGGAGAGTGCACAAAGTAAAAGTGGCGTTGGGTGTTGGGGAGGGGTGATGTGGTGGGGTTCAACAGGCCCCTGAGATCAGAGTTAAGAGCAGGTTGATAGAGTGGGGGCGGCTGGATCGCGCCTGCGCCAGACAGCCCGCAAAGGGCGGCATTGTCACCTCGCCCACACGTGTGAGGCACCCAGCTTCCGGGGGCGGCACCCGCGGCAGGCAGACTGCGGGCGGCCGGCGCCCACACGCTGCCAGGGCGCTACCGGCGCAAGGCATGCGCCCGCACGGCCCCACCATTACAGCAGCCCCACCATGACCTCACAACCAGCCCGCCCCGCGCCGCCACGCAAAACCGCGGCCGCCCAAATCAGCAGGGTGACCCAACCCACCAGGAAGCACTTGTAGCTGCCGCGCGCGAGGGCGGCGTGGAATATCTCGACAGCATAATCAGTGGTGCCGCCCCCCGGGGCCGCCCTGGATGATATGATGCCGGGGTAGCGCAGGCTGCGGTAGTCTACGCCGTGCTTGTCATGGTAGTACTGGCCCAGGAGCTCCTGGTGGACCTGGGGCGTCACCGAGTGACGGGGTGGGTGAC